CAAAACATGAAAAACTTTTTTTTAAATCACTGTTGTTCATTATTAATAAAAAGGAAAAGGAAAAAAATAGCACTTAGATGTAAAAACATCACCTGTGCTCTCCTGCGATGATTGTCTAACTGACTAACCCTCGGAGCCTGAAGGACCTGTCTGATGCGACGCCTCAAGCCTGCCGCCACCATGACGTTGCAACGATGTGTGCGGCCCACTTGCGTCGGTGGTGCCACAGATAAGCTCTCCTGGCTGAGCAGCGCCTCCAGCAGGACTGTATGAGGATGGCAGCCCCCCTCCCCCAGCGCTGACCTGGGCGTGAGAGCAGAAGTGATACCTCCTCCTGGTTTTCAAACACTGACAGAAGAGTCACCGCTGAAGGGGCCTTCCTCCCACCAGCATCCCAACCGTGACACAAGTCCACGAGACGTCCTCCGTTGACTTCCGCTAGAGGAACTGTGAAGTCCCGGAGCAGTTTTTTCAGGGCCTGCAGAGCATCAAGCACACAGAGTAAAGCTCTGCTTGCAGTGGCAGAAATCTGCGTTGGGTCCGTTGGGTCGATCTGCCCCTTTGTGCTTGTAAAGGGGTATTTAGTGTTTTCAGGAACTTCCACGGTCAGGTTCTGCAGAGCAAAGAGAAACAATTTAAAAGCTTGGAACCCATTAAATAAGTTTTTATTACTTCTTTTTTCACCAATTTGTTTTAAAAACGTATTTCTAAAAGTGATACCTGAGAGCTTTTAGGGATAAGACTGTTTGTGTCTCGACTTTCATTCTGTAAGTCCATGTTTTTAGAAGCTGTGGATGGAGGTGGGCTCTTCCAGGTCTGGAGACGACACGTGTATCAACCTTTTTCAAAAAGCTAGAATCTGAGTTTGGTTGACATTTTTGAAAATTTGATTCTATTGGATAAACAAAACAGAGCCCAATCAGTGAATGGCTTTAATTAATATCTGACAAATAAACAAAATCAATGAAGTCAGTAAAGTATTAAAAAGAAATTTTGCTAAAATAATGTGTGTAATTGGAGATGCGGAAAATGAGAGAAAACATTCATATCACACAAATAATTTTGGACAAGACTTTTTTAAAAAATAATAATTTAAAGCTAGGCAGTCATTATGACATTTCTATGAAAGCAACAAAAACATACAACTCAGTATTTGTCTGACAAACATTTAGAAATACTAAATACATTTAATTTAAAAAAATGCAAAAAAAGAATCATGCACTGCACTCTGCAGAACATTAAGAGTACTAAGCTGGTTTAGAAGGGTATGAATCCAGTGAAAACGGGAACATTGTGCTGAACTGATGGACAAAGGAGGCTCTGTTGAAGCACTGAAAACAGGTTTAAAAAGATCAAACAACTGTTAAAACATTGTGCTTTTCATTGTCCATAAAATGTTTAAAAAGGTAAATTCTTAAAAACTGTAGTTTGGCACTAACTATATGAGGTAACAAAGAAGTGGTGGTGGGAATAAATAAAACAATGAGACGTAATGAAGTAATGAGACGTCAGTCAAACTGTCTCCACTTCGTCTTCAGCTAGAAACGGGAAACGATGTCCTTCTGGTTTGGGAACATGAAGACTTGCTGCAGAGCTGGGGATTTTTCTAGGCAGGTTTACCCAAACACTTTTTTTTTTTTGGTAAGGTTTTGTATATTTCACTCAAAAACGTCAATGCTACATGGCTTTTCCTGTTTAAAGAATTAAAATCCCAGGACTGGACTGATCAAACAAAATGTATAAAAATGGGGCTGATATGGAAATTTTAGCTGATAAACACCAAAATATTTTATCTTCATGTTAATACCCCTATTACATGAGACATCTAAAACTATTTTAGGAATTCGTGATTTTTACTGTAAATAAATGACAGTTAATTATAACAGGCTGGGTGCTTAAGACTAATAATTTATGTATTTATTTATTTACTTGTTATTTTTATCAACTTTTTTTTACTAGAAGTGATAACTATCAGTCACTAGTTTCAACTTTTTATTAAAAAACTGCTTTAACTGCTATTTTCTGCTTTGATAAATAATTTTAGAAAATGATTTGGCAAAATGTAATTATTTATCATCATAAGTAACCATTATCAGCGGAGCAAAAACTCAAGATAAATTATATTTTTAAATATCAGTATACTGTAACTAACATGCATTTACACAAGCGATAATAAAAACAAAAAGTATATCTTGTTTAATATAAGATACGCCTTTTTGTTGAAGCCCCTGTTGTTTCTGACAATAACCAAACTCAAATGACTCCCTACTTAGAAACATCTCAAAGTTTCTTCTCTCCACACTAATTTTCTAATGTCCTCATGTTGTTTCTTTCATTCTCCTCAGACCACTGAGCACTATGACAGACCAGGGGTAGCAGCCAGGTGCTGGGAGATTTTCCCCTCACAGGCACACATCTGTTTCAGGTGGGGCTAGGAAAAGGTGCCACCTTTTGTAAAATTGCTAAAATGCAAAAATCTCATTCCCTGGCACGGGGATGGAGCAGAAAAGAGCTGGGCCGAGTTGCAGGAGGCGGCAGCAGGCAGAGAGCCAGTGGTTAGCAGTTGGGGAAGCTACGGCTGTCTTATTGGCATGCTGGAACAGGTAGTCGATTCTGTCTTGAGACAGCTGTAAACCAGTAGCCCATAGCGCAGCAATCAGGTGCCTGTTTCTTTAGAAGAATGCTGATGTGGTGCAATCTGCTGTTTTCCGCTTTCTGCAGCCAGAACCTCCATCTCTCCTAGATCAGAGTGACAGTCTTGGCCTCTATTTTCTCATGTCAGGAGCAGATTACCAAAAACATATTGGCAAAGAAAGTGAGTAAAATAAATCTAAAACTAATGCCGACCTTTGCAAAAGATTCATTTGTTTGCGATGACAGAGGCTGGATGTCATCACTGAGTCAGGTGACCTTTATGTCACAGTTTGTCTGAGCGTGAACTTGAGACATCCATTAATACAGAGCTGCACCATCACTCTTCACCGCAGCATAAAGGCTCAGAGGAATAAGGAAGGCAGAATACTCCTGGTTCATAGTGTTGTAATGAAAATCATAAACTTGATGTCAAGAAAAAAATATCCAGAAAGTAAACAATAGCTTGTAAATAAATACAATAACTGTTGAACATGAGATTAATTTGGTTTTAGTTAAATATTTAGTGTAGGATAAAACCTACTATAAAATAATTATTTCATAAACACATTTTAAATGTAAATTTCATATTCAACATCAGTTTGATTCCAGTACTTTAGTTTTAAGAGTTAAATGTTCACACAAAAAGAAATTACACTTGTACCTTAACAAAATTAACATTTATGAAAGTCATAAACTGTGACATTAGAGCTGCACACTAAACAATCTGCTTTAACACTATTTAAATAATGATGGTATTTAATTTACCCTGAGTTAGTTTATTTATTTATTTATTTATTTATTTATTTATTTATTTATTTATGTGACCTATCATATCGAAATGAGGATTAAGCCAAATTTGGTCAAAATGACCTAATCACATTTTCAGATTCCTTGCATTATGTACATTTTGAAACCTGGATCACTCCCATATCACAAGCAGTTCCAGATATATGACTTAAATTTTTATGTTAATCACAATAATATATTTATATTTGGTCTGAATCCTACTTTTGTGCAATTTTAATGAGAATTTTTTGATGTCTTTATTAAGCGGAAACGTCAAACAGTATTGAGACAGATCATTCAAATGAGACATTGATAAGGCATTTATTCATTATATTTTGACAAAATGCAATTTTTGCAAATGTTTTAATCAAAGCACTATTTCTCCACGTCCCACTTTTAGACTTAATCCTCGTTTTGATATGATGGTTCACAAATATAGTTTTCTGTTCTCATAGCCCATGGCTTTTGCGTAAATTGTTGCTGTTTGTACAAGATTCCACAATAAATAACTAGATTAGATGAAATTACACAACAAATGCATGTTTAGTTCATGTTTAACAAAACAGATAAAAGCAAGTTTTTAAGAAATTAACAGTTACCATTTGTAGTTTTACACTTCTGCTCAAATGCTAAATTTAAACAATTTTCATCACATTCTTTTTTTGAACATTTGTACATTCATCCTACAGGTTTTGCTGCCTTCGTGTGGCTAATTGTATTAGACAAAAGAAATAATAAAACTTGATGGAATATGTTGCTTATGTTTTATTCTAACAGGTCTAAGGAGCTCCAGGCTTTTTCATTTATTGAGATGGAAAGATTTTCACTTTACTCTGGTCAGACTGCAGAGACAAATAATCTTTCTCTATGTCATGTCCAATAATATCACTATGAATCTAAAGGTACAGTAAGTACAACTGGAATGGGGCTGATAACCAGTAATAATGTGTCGTGATCTAAGCCTCAATAGTGGAAAACAAAAGAAAAACACTGCAAAACATATCTTAACATTATCTGCAAACATGTTTCTTTCTTTCCATCCAAACTTGTAAATTATAATAACTGTTCCAAATAATCGCATCACTTTGAGAAGCCACAGAACCGGACACCCTCCGCAGACCCATACTC